AAAACAGAGATCGTGTGGTCACATGATTCGGTGGGTGCAGTGCGGTGCGGTGCAGAGATGAGCCACGCTTGTAACTCAGGCCTGTTGTTTAGATTGTAAGTATTTTTACTCTCTCTTTATCATATTAAATATTTAGACACATGCATGGAGTATTAAATGTAGATAAAAAAATAACTAATTATACAGTTTGAATATAAATTATGAAACGAATCTTTTGAGCCTAATTAGACTATGATTGGACAATAATTATTAAATACAAACGAAAGTGCTATAGTACCAAATACTGATTCCTAACCCTAACGTAAACAAGACCTCAAAAGGTGAGAAAGGATGCAGACACACAGCGAAACGCTCATGTTCCATCGGTCACGCGCGCGCTGCAGGTCCTGTACCGTGATATAACGTGTCAGGCCACTGGCTCCGACAGCACAAACTTTCGACGCCGATATGATGTGTCCGAGATCTGACGTTGAGTGATGAGTTGCAGGCTGCGGCGCACCGATGAGCCGACTAGGGACTACTGTACACTGCACAGCCTCCTGCTTGCACAGGATTGGAGATGGGTGCCTTTTATTTCCCTGTTCGTAGATGCTGAAATTTAGCTTATGCTGATGCTTATGCTAAAATATTATAAGAAGAAAATATTGTTCGATGACTGAAAAGTAATTCGAAATAAGCTCAAGCGAACAGAACATTATTAGCTTATATTATATTATATTGATAGGACGTTACTTTTGTGCCGATCCATTCTGTTGAATCCTGGACGGTGACTTACATGAACAGGTCCTACGGATGTCTAAAGTCTAAACTTTCCTCCCCCAATCCATTTTGTTGAATCCTCGATGGTTACAAATTTATAAACACCCGATATTCGTTACAAATTTATAGGAAAGGATTAGGAGGGGTTCCATGCTCCAAATAGCCGTAGCCGAGGATCAAGCCTATCCTGCTTGGATGCTAAATTAGCCCTCGCTATATAAGGGGATTTTTAAAAATCCCTCTAAGGGATATTTTCAAGGGAGATGTGTAGATAGATGAAACATTGCATTGTCCCATTTCAACTACTACGTTTATAGAGTATTCAGGATTATATATATATACATATATACACACTTTTCAGGACAAATTTGGCTTTATTCTAGATAACCTACGCTGTCCTAACTGCTTTTGTGATTTTTGGGCCTTTATCATCATGTTGGCGGGTCGAGATCCAGAAGATAGGTCCCTTATTTGCTTCTGCGTCGACCAATGTATCACTACTTTATTGTGGAACCACTCAAGCCAATCTTTTGGTTATGATATCTAGTCTCAATTCGTGCACACAAATATATTCACAACAACACGTGGTTATTTCAAATTGCATCTCCGCTGGAGAAGGGGACCAAGGTAATCAAGGTCTCTCCCGCAACATATTTCTTTTTACAAGATGTCCACGTATGTTTTCAAAATTCTAACTTTACAATTTTCAACCAATTAGTTTTGTAAGATGTAAAATATTATAAAAGTAGAAATACTATCCTATTTCTGTTTGAAGAAAAATATTATCCTCTGGTTATGATCTCGTTGCTATAATTATTATATTGTATTAGAAAAAATAAAGGTCAAAGTATAATTTCCGAGTCCAACCATCCATTACATTTTGAAACGTACAGGGAGTATACATATATGTGAAAAGTTCAAATGATACGCATTTATGGACTAGAAGAGAAACCTAGTTCCACAATCTAATCAATCAACAATGCAATGGTCCATTGATGGTGCAATTATCCCATTAGTCCAATAAACAAGATACACAATCCCACTTGGGTCCAACTCTTATGGTTAAGTTCCGCAAGACATCTCCTTTCCCCGAAAGCTCTCTTCTTAGACTAATGCAAAACAAAGACAACCATAATGATCAACGTTACAAGGGGACGAGAAATGACAATGTGGTGCCATCAGCAGTACCTTACCAGCGGCATCTTAAAGAGGTGACAACCATTGTAATTTCTTAGAGTCAAACTGGCTTAGATCCACCCTGCACATCGAGTGAACCATATACTACCACCAACCCAGTTATGCTTTCATCATCTCTTCATGTAAAAGGGTTAATCTAGAGATGGTAGCATATACTCTAGAAGCTTTATATTTTGGTCTAACCCACCCATAATAACCAAGATGGCACTAAAGCCCCCATAATCTCAAGCCTCCTCATGGCCCTCCATGGTTTCATAAAAAGATTGGCAACATCCCTACAAGTGGTTAATCAAGCGCCCTCATTGTACATGGTCTTAACATGTATGTGTGAGGGTTGACATATGTGCTATGTATATTTTTAAACGTGAAATGTGGTCTTAAGTTCTTCATTTGATCCTATGGGTTGTCGAAAAGGTGCAATTAAAGAAGCTACGGTCTATGAGGGGCTCATTTTAACTCTAAGACTAATCTCATTGCATTGCATCATACACCCTCTATTCTAAATTATAAAATGTTTTGGACTTTCTACATACATACGCCCTGATCGCTTGAGCTACTTTTTAACCATGGAACAGTGTTTTCTCTCACAACATTTCAGCAGAAGCATCAGCATAAGCCAAATTCCATGCACTTAGATATACACTATGTCTAGATACATAGTTAAAACAACGTATCTAGAAAAATCTAGATGCCTTATAATTTGATGAAATGGAGTGAGTACGTAGGATCTTTTGGTGACATATCAATTAATTAAATATAATTAAGAGAAAAAAGCTATAACATTATGGTGATATAGCTTGGCTTCGATATTATCCCAAATCCAAGACTAGCTTGTAAATTTTGTTTAATTTTTTCACATTCAAAGACACAAACCGAGGGCAATTAATTATTTTAAGTGGCCTAGCAAATAACGAAAATGATACAACATTGTAGAAATTGCTTTCTACATATCAATTTAATGATGCCATAGTGGTATGGTAATTTTTATTATAACATCATGGTGATATAGCTTGGGTTCGATATTATCCAATCCAAGACTAGCTAGTAAATTATGTTTAATTTTTTTCAGATTCATAGACACAAACATAGGACAACTAATCATTTTAAGTGGTTTAGCAAATAACGAAAACGATACAACATTGTAGAAATTGCTTTCTACATGTCATTTTAACGATACCATAGTGGTATGGTAATCTTGATTATAACACCACGATATAGTGCATTGAAAAGGGTTACGAAAGGATGCATTTTTTCTTTTCTTTTTTTTAAAAATGTTGAAGCAACATCCATGGTTATCCTTATCCAACGTAGATTAAAGCTCATACATAGTACATACATTACGTTAATGTTTCTAAAAAAACATACATTACATTAATTATACAAGAAAAAATAAATAAATACATATCCCTCGTGATACAAACCCCTCTGGTTTTGCTCTCTCGGCCCTTCGCTCTCCCGACACCCTGCCTGGCTGCCCCTGTCGTGTCGTCCATCCCACAGCCGCCCATCATTGTACATGGTCTTAACATGTATGTGTGAGGGTTGACATATGTGCTATGTATATTTTTAAACGTGAACTGTGGTCTTAAGTTCTTCATTTGATCCTATGGGTTGTCGAAAAGGTGCAATTAAAGAAGCTACAGTCTATGAGGGGTCATTGTAACTCTACGACTAATTTCATTGCATTGCATCATACACCCTCCATTCTAAATTATAAAATATTTTGGACTTTCTACATACATACGCCATGTTCGCTTGAGCTACTTTTTAACCATGGAACAATGTTTTTCTCTCACAACATTTCAACATAAGCATCAGCATAAGCCAAATTCCATGCACTTAGATATACACTATGTCTAGATACATAGTTAAAACAACGTATCTAGAAAAATCAAGATGCCTTATAATTTGATGAAATGGAGTGAGTACATATTAAATGAGGGCCATGTAGGATCTTTTGGTGACATATCAAGTAATTAAATATAATTAAGAGAAAAAAGCTATAACATCATGGTGATATAGCTTGGCTTCGATATTATCCCAAATCCAAGACTAGCTTGTAAATTTTGTTTAATTTTTTTCACATTCAAAGACACAAACCGAGGGCAATTAATTATTTTAAGTGGCCTAGCAAATAACGAAAACGATACAACATTGTAGAAATTGCTTTCTACATGTCAATTTAATGATGCCATAGTGGTATGGTAATTTTGATTATAACATCACGGTGATATAGCTTGGGTTCGGTATTATCCAATCCAAGACTAGCTAGTAAATTATGTTTAGATTTTTTCACATTCATAGACACAAACATAGGACAACTAATCATTTTAAGTGGTCTAGCAAATAACGAAAATGATACAACATTGTAGAAATTGCTTTCTACATGTCATTTTAACAATACCATAGTGGTATGGTAATCTTGATTATAACACCACGATATAGTGCATTGAAAAGGGTTACGAAAGGATGCGTTTCTTCTTCTTTTTTTTTTTAAATGTTGAAGCAACATCCATGGTTATCCTTATCCAACGTAGATTAAAGCTCATACATAGTACATACATTACGTTAATTATACAAGAAAAATTAAATAAATACATATCCCTCGTGATACAAACCCCTCTGGTTTTGCTCTCTCGGCCCTTCGCTCTCCCGGCACCCTGCCCGGCTGCCCCTGCCGTGCCGTCCATCCCACAGCCGCCCATCACCGGAGGACGACGCATCTATCCTCTTTTCCCTTGCTGGCATCCTCGCCGCGGTTTAAACCCTTTAACGGCTTCCCCTCCCACCGCTGCTCAGCTCTGCCCCACCCGCACCCTTCCGTGAGCTCAGCCTCTCCGCGCGCGCGCCTATAAATGACAGCCCCGCCTCCCCGTCTCCCTCCAAGTTCAAACGCACGCCGCACGCTCGCTCGCAGCCGGCCGACCGTGGCCCCCACTGCCACCATCGCCTGCCTGCCGCCGCCGCTGTCCCGCACTCCCGCTCGGGATTCCGTCCTATCGCAGCCGCTGCAAGCCGTTGGTAATTAAGCTGCGACTGCGATAATGGGGAGGGGGCCGCTGGGGTCCAAGCGGAGGGTGGCGGAGGGCGGCACGGAGACGGAGCCGGAGGAGGAGGCGGAGTACGAAGTGGAGGAGTTGCGCGACCACATCGCCTCCTCCCGCGGCAGCCGCCTCGCGCTCTTCGGCTCCGACCTCCGCCTCGGCCGCTTCCGCCCGCGCCGCCGCAGCAGACGCCGCCCGCTCGCCGGGGAAGGTGCCGTCGAGGGCTTCTTCCACGACCTCGTCATCCACCCCGACAACAAGTGCGTGATCAACTCTCCTGTCCCCGCGATCTCGTTAATTTGCTCTCGAAGCTTCCGCTTCCGGTTTCGCGCGCGCGCTGGCTGTTGCTGCTTTTGGAAGCTGACGGCGGCGACGCGGCGCGCTAGATCGGTCGGCGTCCTCCGATCGGATGGCTCCCGCGAATCGCCAGAATTGTTCGACCACGACCACAAAAACCCAATATTATATTTTTTTATAAATAAAAACTTCATCCTCTGCATATACTATGTGTCGGCGGATAATTACCAACCACGAATGCCCCAGCGGTGAATGTGAATCTCCCGAAAATTACTCTTTCTTTTTATATTTGACGCGTCGGTTGATGTTGTGGATCACTACGCGACATTCAGCTGATGGTGAACAGAGTGTGCATCAGCATCCCAGCCGCAAATTTCTCGTTAGTTGATGATGAGCTCGCCAGCTACGCAAGCTTCCACTAGGTTGTAGTTGGACAGCCACCGCGGTCACGGGGTAGGCTTTGACTCCCACACAAATATTAGCCTTGCTTTAATTCAATCACGCTGCTAGCTATTTCTGCACAAATTTTTTCCTTTTCGTTTCTGAATGCAGAGTTTTGTGACAGAGTCACTAGATATAGGCCGCGTTTAGTTCCGGCAGATTCGGCGCCGGCTGAATTCGCCGGCACTGTAGATACACTGTAGCGTTTTGTTTTTATTTGGTAATAATTGTCCAATCGTTGACTAATTAGACTCAAAACGTTCATCTCGCAAAGTACAACCAAACTGTGCAATTAATTTGTGATTTCGTCAACATTTAGTACTCCATGCATGTACCACAAGTTTGATGTGACGAGAAATCTTCTTTTTGCATAGTGCCAAAGTTGGGAGTTTTGATGAACTAAACAAGAGCATAGCCAAATAACTGAATAAGCCCCTGTATTGTTTCTCAAATCGATTGGGTCAGCAAATATGCTTTCTAGGTTCCACATAGCTCAAGCAAAAATGCTTGCTAGATTCTGCATAATTAGAATTAGAATTGGTTAATACTAACATGACAACTTGAGGTTTAAAAAATCCCGGCCACCACTTGATTTCGCATTTCTGCTAGCAGAATGAGCACACAGAACAAAATATGTGTTGGGCAATAGAGAGAAAAAGCATGCAAATAGACGAGAAGAAAAAAAACTGAACGCTAAAAATGAGTTATTAATCTCTCAAAAGAATGATCTGAAAAAAAAGTCGCTTTCAGTATGGAAAAAAAAACCCCTCAGTTAAAGAGCAAGCTGTATGAAGCATTCTAATTTTCCCAGAGATTGCTTTGCTACCTTTCATGCTTCTATATGCTGGGATCTTTTTGGCATCAGGCAACATCAAAACTATATTTAAAGCCTCTCCCAACGTGACATTCTTTTATTTATTTATCATGGCGTAATGAGCTCATACTGAGAGGAACACAGGATCTTCTTAATTTCTGAATAGTGAATACAATAAACATGAGCTTAATATCCCGGGCGGGCTATCAACATCGGTTTACATGTGTGCTTAGATGTTACCAGCAACGATCAACCATTATTTATAAATAACTCTAGTATATAAAACGTTCATCTGCATGCTTATCACAATAGGACAACTAAGCTATAGCTTATAAAAGCATCCTTCCCCATGAAGGCCAACCAGGTGTACGACAACTGAAGACGTTAAGCACTCCGAGTTTAATTTGGTTACTTGGCTGATTTGGACGGATGGGTTTGAACGGGCCTAAAGAATTCACTAGGATGCCCGGAGCTGTTTTGGACTCTTACCGAGAAGCCGGTAGTTTATCCTTTGCTGAAGCATCTGGAATAGCTATTTTGATGCATAGGTTGCCACTGTAAGGTCATGTAGTGATCTCCTTGACAGCTAAACTGTTCGTGTTGATTGAGACTTCCGTAGTTTTGATTAGTGGTGATCTCGCATAATCAAATTTGAGATAGTGATAGTTTGCATATTTTGGAGTTTGACCACCATCAGCATGACAAGTTATGAATATGAGGCCAATTGTTTGTGGATTTGGTGAATTCATTTTTTCTTTACTGAGGCTACTTACTAATTAGATCAATACTTGTTAGAATTCCTTTTAATATTTAGTATGTCACTAATGTCCTGCACATCAAATGACTTGCACAACTGACAACACTCCATTAATATCAAAATGTAATTTTCTGTTCAACCAGCTGTTAGTGTTAGGGGTCGGATTAAAATTATTTGCATGGTAAAAGAAGTGAAGTGTTCTTACTTCTTTGGCTCCTTATTTCGCCCTTTCCTAGTGATTATGAAAGAAGATGGGGTGCTCCGCATCATCCGTATAGCGTCACCCAGATTTATATCATTTCAAATGGTCCTTTTTGTGATAGTTTAGTGCCAGCAGGATCATTAGATGGGTGCAGAACAAGAGGATCCCACTCACAGCCACTTCGATCACCTCAGACATGTGCATGTGCTCATAAGAATGGGATGTGTGTATGAACTCACCTGGAACCAATTTGGTCTACCTACTTCTTTTGACCTAACTAGCAAGCATCATGTGTGGTGATAGATGCTGTCTCTCAACACCATACCTTACTAAGCTACAAAATCATATGGCTGTGGTGCTAGTGAATTGAACATTTCCTTTTGCTTTCAATAAAATATATTTTTGTCAACTTGGAGCCTGCTTTACCTAAATCTCACAAATGTTGAAGCACTATATAGCCAATTACCTAAATCGATTGGCCAATTTGTGGTTTTCACTTTGAGCTTCATGGAGAGCACTGAGGCTTCCCTTGTATAACGTTATTAATGCTAATTCATGCCATTCTAGCCAAATCTTAGAGTGAAATTTTATTACTGTCTAAACGTGTATATGCTCACAAGGATGATAGTTTACTGAACTTGTGAATTACTTTTGGATTTTCTTCAGGTGGTATCGATTATGGAGCAAGTTCATACTGGTTTGGGCAGTGTACAGTTCCTTCTTCACGCCCCTAGAATTTGGCTTCTTCAGAGGGCTCCCAAGAAACCTCTTTTTCCTGGACATAGCTGGACAGATTGCATTCCTTATCGACATTGTTGTGAAATTTTTTGTGGCATACCGTGACCCAGACACGTATCGAATCGTCTACAGTCCCACTGCTATTGCCCTCCGGTATTGCAAATCAAGCTTCATTTTTGATCTTCTTGGTTGCTTCCCATGGGATTTTATCTACAAGGTTACTCTCTTGCTAAAGAAAACTTTGAGCTCGTAAATTCTGGATTGGTGTTTATGCTGTAATCAACTTTCGTTTTTCTGTTATGATTAATTCTCTCATGATGAATTCCATAACAGGCCTGTGGAAGTAAAGAAGAATTAAGATACCTGCTGTGGATTCGCTTGACACGGGTTACAAAGATTACAGAATTCTTCTGGCTTTTAGAAAAGGACATACGTATCAACTACCTTTTCACTAGGATAGTGAAGCTCATAGTTGTGGAACTCTACTGTACACACACAGCAGCCTGTATCTTCTATTACCTGGCTACGACACTTCCTGAATCAATGGAGGGATATACGTGGATTGGGAGTTTGCAGTTGGGGGACTACAAGTTTTCACATTTCAGGGAGATCGATCTTACCACGCGCTATACAACATCATTATACTTTGCCATTGTCACCATGGCAACTGTTGGTAAGAAACTAAGAATTGGTCACCTAATTTTCCAACACATAACTTTTGCCACTCCATTTTCATTTGTTTCTGAAAATCTTAACAAAACTATTTGTTTAAAGTAACTTAAATGTTCTTTTTTCCTCTGCAGGTTATGGTGACATTCATGCTGTCAACATCAGGGAGATGATATTCATCATGATCTATGTTTCCTTTGACATGATTCTAGGAGCTTACCTGATCGGTAACATGACTGCCCTCATCGTGAAAGGCTCGAGAACCGAGCGGTTTAGGGACAAGATGAAAGAAGTGATCAGGTATATGAACAGAAATAAACTTGGAAAGGAAATAAGAGAACAGATCAAAGGACACTTGAGGTTGCAGTATGAGAGCAGCTACACTGAAGCTTCCGTCCTTCAGGATATCCCTATTTCTATCCGTGCAAAGGTGATGAGCTGCAATTTTCTTATGTTTCCATCGTTCTGTGAAGTAGATCTGAATACCATACTTCGGAATTCAGAAGACTTTCCTTCTATACTACATAGCACATGAATACTGATGACAAATTGTATGGCACTCGCAGATTTCTCAAACACTGTATAAGCCATATATCGAAAGCATTCCACTGTTCAAGGGATGTTCCGCAGAGTTCATTCAACAGATCGTAAGTGTCCTCTCTTTCATCCCAGTTATGTATGTTGATCTAATATATACTCTGCCGAATGAACTATATGGTAGGAAGAACTCCTCCAGCAGAGTACTTTTTAATTGTTGTGATATTGTTACCAATCCCAAGATTTATCTGTCATGTTCTGCTGTATAGGTCATCAGGTTGCAAGAGGAGTTCTTCCTACCCGGAGAAGTTATTTTGGAGCAAGGAAGTGCAGTCGATCAGTTATACTTCGTCTGCCACGGTGCACTGGTGAGTTCACGCCCATGAAAAACGGTCAAAGCTTCGATTCAGTTTCTGTAACAATCTTATGCTTTAGTGAATTGATACCTCTGTCTGAACTGAAACATGTGCTTGCTGTCTGCAGGAAGGTGTTGGCATCGGTGAAGACGGACAAGAAGAGACTCTGCTAATGCTGGAGCCAGAGAGCTCCTTCGGCGAGATCTCAATCCTCTGCAACATCCCGCAGCCCTACACGGTCCGCGTCTGTGAGCTCTGCCGGCTTCTGCGTCTCGACAAGCAGTCCTTCACCAACATCCTGGAGATCTACTTCGTCGACGGGAGGAGGATCCTGAGCAATCTCTCCGAGGTACATAGTCTCAAACGGCTCTTGTCTGTTCCACATTGAATTCTCCGAGGTACATGCGTTCATTTGTGACTGGCTGGGTGCAGAGCGAGTATGGCGGACGGGTGAAGCAGCTGGAATCGGACATCACGTTCCACATCGGGAAGCAGGAGGCGGAGCTCATCCTGCGGGTCAATAGCGCCGCCTTCTACGGCGACCTGAACCAGCTGAAAAACCTGATCCGGGCAGGGGCTGATCCCAAGAACACCGACTACGACGGCCGCTCCCCTCTGGTACCAGCAAAATGCCTCTTGTCAATCTGTCATCGGCAGGCAGTAAACTGAGATCAGCTCAAGATTGTGATGTGATCCGCGTTTTCCTCGCAGCATCTCGCGGCTTCCAGAGGGTACGAGGACGTCGTGCAATTCCTCATCAACGAAGGCGTCGACATCGACCTTACCGGTATGCCGCCACGCACTATCCAGTGCCATTGTCACCCCTGTTGTCTTCCAGCTTCGTTTCTAGGATTATTCCTGCCAGTTTGATCATGTCATGTTGACATTTTTTTTCTTTTCACCAGACCAATTTGGGAACACGCCGTTGCTGGAGGCAGTGAAGCAGGGGCACGAACGGGTGGCAGCTCTGCTCTTCGCCAAGGGCGCCAAGCTGAGCCTCAAGAACGCCGGTACCTACCTGTGCACGGCGGTCGCCAAGGGGGACTCGGACTTCATCCGGCGCGCCCTGGCCTACGGCGTCGACCCAAACTGCAGGGACTACGACCACCGCACACCGCTCCACATTGCCGCCGCCGAGGGCCTCTACCTCATCGCCAAGATGCTTGTCGAGGCCGGCGCCAGCGTGTTCGCCACGGACAGGTAACATCAAAGCTTGATCTAGTTAAGCCAAGTTCGCACTAGCTTCTAGATTATAATGCGAGTTTGGCGCTATAACAATGCGATGCGGCCGGTGTGCAGATGGGGCACCACTCCGCTGGACGAAGCCCGCAAGTGCGGAGGCCGCACGCTGGGGGCGCTGCTGGAGGAGGCGCGGGCCAACGAGCTCGCCATGTTCCCAGAGCGCGGCGAGGAAGTCAGGGACAAGATGCACCCGCGACGGTGCTCGGTGTTCCCGTACCACCCGTGGCGGGCGGCCACAGGCGAGGAGCAGCGTATGGAGGGGGTGGTCCTGTGGATCCCGCACACCATCGAGAGCCTGGTCGCGTCGGCGCAGGAGAAGCTCGACTTGCCTGGCCCGGCTTCGCGGCTGCGGTTGTTGTGCGAGGACGGGGCCAGAGTGCTCGACGTCGACATGGTCAATGACGGACAGAAGCTCTACCTGGTCGGAGGCGAGGACGACGATCAGAAAGATGCTCAGTAGATTGGGCATGGTGTTTTATGTCACCCTTTCTTCTCGCGTAGCATCCTCTGCGTGGCATTGCATGATTCTTTTTTTCACCCTTGCATGCCGGGTGAACTTTCTCTGCATGTCATTGCATGCTTCTTTTTTTCACCCTTGCATGCCGGTTGTTGTTTTGGCTAGCCAAACAGGGGCGCGCCATCGCGCGCATAGGCAGGTACATGAAAGGGACAATATATAGATTGTAAAACAACAGGACATGTTCATCAACCACGTGATATACAAAGGGGTTGTCTTCAAGAACCGCTGCTAACAGCAAACTTTGCATCCCTTCCGAAATAGCGTTGTCCATGTTACAAAACGATGAAGCTGTTTTCTTGTTTTCTACCTATAGGATTACAAAGGTGGTTAGTATCATACGGAGCATAGAATGTAGGTGCTAAATTTGTCAGCAAAGTAGGACATCTGAGGCTTCATGAAGAGGGTTTTCATATATGGAAGAAGTGGTCACAACTATTTTGTTGTGCAGTGCCAGACATAAATCTTGTCAACGTGGCCTGAATGGGCTGGCATGAAGACTCAAAACTGAAGAGAGTTCAAATTCTCACCTTGTCTGGATCCTCGTTGGTGGTAACGATCATGTTCATCTTGATAAAGGACTCCTTTCCTTCATTCAGGCTGAGTGAAGACAGCAGCAGACCAATAATTCTGAGGAAAGATAGCTACAAAGGAAACCCAATGGATTCAGATAAACCTATTCAATCATCTATGATGCAGTAATTATATCCGTAATTGTGTCTAATTTGAAACTAAATCATGTAAGGCCTACACGTAAGAAAAAAAATAACACCAATGGTTGGAGCAAGAGAATTAAGAAAATGAAAAGTAAACCAATTGAATCCAAATAGCAAATCGGATTATAGCCTACATGGAAAGGTGAATCTATTCAATCATCTATGATGCAGTAATTAGAATATTTATTTCTGTAAATGTGTCTAATTCGAAGTTGAATCATGTAAGACCTACATGTGGAAAAAAAACTCCAATGGTTAGAGCAAGAGAATCAAGAATACAAAAAGCAAACCAATTGAATCCAAATACCAAATCGGATTATAGCATAGATGTAAAGGTGGACAGAGAAGCAGAAATACAAACAAGATATCAATATGTTTCTCTTTGTACAGATAAGTTAGCAATGTCACTCAAAAAACAAAACAGAGCAATATAGATTAAGAAATGATAACATTTGGTAGAATGATGATCTAGCGTTTCATTGACGCTACACCATCCATTGTACAAAGTCAGGAGGGAAACAAAGTTGAACCCAAAAGCATAAAAATAGGAAATATGGTATGGCAGGCACCCGTGTTGGATAAATGAGTTGCATAGTGATATATGAACAGGTTACAGGTGGAGCTGTGTCTTCCTTGAGCGAAATGCATTGCAATGTTACAATGAGAAGCATTGGAAAATACTTGAGGTAAGACACCTTTTCTTTTTAACCGCTAGCTTGGAAGGCAAACGTGAAGGCAAGGATAAAGAATACAAATAAATCAAGAAATGGATCCATCTGCATGATTGAAACATGGTAAACATCATAAGATTTCTATCTAGGTGGACCACTGCCAGAGAAGGGCCGCTGGGACATTTTGAAGGTGGTATGTATAAAGTGACAAAATAAGATATTCAAATTTGCAAGCCGAAAATAAAGGTTTCTTACAGGTTCAAGGCAGTACAGAGGAGAATTAAAGTGAAAATTTTGTACATAGCTACTGCGGCTTCATATCTAAAAATCAAACCATCAATGAACAAACCGATATATAAAAGACCAATCATTGTGTTAATTTATGCTTCAGCTCTGATGCATATATCAGCTCTTATCATCCTAAACTGAGGAAATAGATATGAGAAAGAGATAAATTATTGCTATATGCAGATAAGCCTATAACTAAAAAAACTGAGGACCCCAGCTCCAAGACGCACCCCCAAATTTCATTTCGTTCCCCTGAAATCGGACTGTTTTGGATGTACAAATACAACTAAAGCACACAGATTGTTATATAAACCTGAAATCATTTTTGTGTGGGAAAAAACTTTAGAGGCTGTCTGAGAGCGTGTGCAAATCACAATTACCAGAGGTGGTGTAGTTTGGCCTCGAAGCATCCAGACCAGATGCAACCAGCGACCGCAGCATCAGTTTGGCTGATGACAGCTATGCTGATCTTTAGCCATTGCATTAGACTTGCATCGATGACAGCCATGCTGAACTTCTCGTCCACTCGTCTGCACACTGCCAATCCACATCAGTGAGAGAATAACTAATTAGTATAATAACCAAATCAAACTCCAAGAGTGAGGCGGTAAGGATGTCGACGTATCCCACTGTATTGTTTTATAAAGCATGTGTATGGGTTAGCATCGTGCCTGCAACCACCAATGCAAAGTGATTGAGGCCTGAACAAAGGCAGCAATGGCATCTTGAGTAATCTAAATGGAAATGGTTCATTAATTTGGAAAAAAAAATTGGTCAGTATGGAACCTGTTCGATGCCTTTGTTGTTCAATCTGCTGTAGACTACAATATAGATAAGAATGCATGGGCAGGTGAGATTTATGTTATCTGTAGCGGCATGAAGGTTCTTTGAATTTTCCCACCCTATTGAGATAATAGCAGCAGAATCACAAAAGAACTATTTCTGGTGATAGAAAGTAGCATTTTATGAAAGCTTCAGGTAACCAAAACAGAGTAAAAAAACACCTACTTTATACTGGCAAAGAGCTCATTCTTCTGTATGAATCAGTCAATGATATCCCAGATGATCCGTACATCGTCCCTCAAATAACTTATAAAATGATCAACATCAAAGATGACTTCAAATTTCCTGCAGAGAATATATAAGTTCTCAGAGCACGATAATCTGGCAGGAAGCAAATAGCATATCTAAGTAGGCCATATCATGTAAAAGTGGAGCATAGAATCATTTATTAATTAAAAAGATGCTTGGAAGAGATTGTAAATTAAGCCTAGAAACAGCTCTAAGAGCTATATATCAAACAGACTCTAATTGACAACTGCCTTTTACACTAAGTCGACCGCACAATTAGAACACTCCTCAAGGTACTTTTAGGAAAGATGGGCAACAACTGTATTCTCACGGTAGCTATAACAATGGCTGCAACCTAGAGAAATCTAGGATAGCCCTAATGTGAATATATAATTACATTCAGATGGGTAAAATATAGCAGCTACTACAAGAATAAAATTTGAGCAGTGGAGGCAGAGGCAAGGCAAAAGGAAAAATTAAGATGTCCACCTCACGAGCAGCTGCTGCGTTAGAGCAGGCAATATGGCAGCGATGGAGGTATTGAGAACATTGACAATATCATTATTCAGGTGCATAGAACAATATCCACCATTAGTTTGAAGAGGAAAAAAAAAATCCATTCAGCATAGAAGCCTAGGTATGGTACAGCACGAATAAGAAACAGTGAGGGTCGATATAAATGGTCTTATTGCAACATAAAATTTCATCCAAAAGAAAAGCTTAAGTGATGTCACGGATTGAAGCTGATCACTGTGAGAAGAAGCTTGCAGGTAGACGCCAGGAGATACCAAAAAAAATCGACAAATGGAATTATGCACTATGTATATATGATGCATTAAGCCACATGCTGAGAATGTCTTCACCTGAGAATGCCTTCAGCTCATTATGCTGAAACTGATCTTGCATGGTTGTTGAGGTCCTGCAAGAAGGAAAAAGGGAAAGTGGCCTGCTATGATTATGGAGTGCACAGATAAGAGAGAGGTCAGAATAACAGTTGAAAGGCAGGAAAGTCCAATCTAAAAAATGAACACCAACCTGAGTTGTGTAAAAAAGGCTACAACGATGCAACACTTGTCCTGTCTGAGAATCCAAAAGGACCCTGCAAGAGGGAAGGAGAAAAAACAGATTAACAAATCAGGATTCAGGAAACTTGAATTGGAACAAGCATATAGGTCAGATTACTAAGAAAGTAAAATGCATGTATTGGTAGATGGAAAGAACAATAGGCACTTCTTGCAGTCCCTAAAAAAAGTGGCTCCTATTGAATCCCAGTCCTTAACCGATGACACAATGTAATTCAATGCACTTCTTCTGAAACGAAAGAGTGAATCTTAATCCTGAAAGGAACCTATAATGTAGAAGTGAAATATGTCAGTTCGCTTTAGTTTGCCTGGTGGACCAAGATGGAAGGATCAGGCATCACAATAGCTAAAAAAGCAACGCAAGCTTGTAGTACTGGATGGGCACATAAACAATCGTAATAATGTAAGCCTGGCAGGGGGAGCATTGCATTGAGCCTCAGAAACAGAACACAGTACAAAGGAAAAAAACTGAACAAAATTACCAAAAAAAAAATGATATAGTATAAGAGTTAGAACCTGCACAAAATAACTTGAGCTTGAAATATGTAAAAGTAAAAAAATAAACTTAAGAAAGGCCTTGCTATAATAATCGAGAAAGGAGGCAGCTGCCTGGTTAAGGCAGTCCATCTGTTAGGAAAAGTGGGTTTAGATGCAGAGAACAAACCTAGATCATTTCCAGCTGTGTGATATGTCGCAGCACTGATTTTAGCAAGCAGAAGGCGAAAATAGATGGAAAAATAAAAGAGACTGACATATCTAAGCAAGCTTCATCTCTGCCAGCTATATTTTATAGTTCTAACTAAATTGGAATTAGCTGTCGTGGTCATATAACCTGAGGACACAAAGTATATCATTAACCATTACAGTAAAGAAACATCTTACATAGATCACCTACTCTAACAAAAAGATAATGAAACAAAAGAGCTTTTGCTGGGCATCCAAGAAATTTCATTTGCCCAATGGCAAAGAGGCAGGTTCTGTCGTACTATTATACACCAACCGTCCAGCAAACAATTGAACGCGCCCTTGAGGTACGCGGCAGCCTGCATGATAAGGAAATAAGCAGCATTAGTTTGCAGTGTTTATTATGCCCTACATTTGGCCAGTGAAAAGTATGGATAGGAGATATGATAAAAACACTTTACCTTCTTGAAATGCAGAAGTGGTATGCAAGCTTTGTACACCCAAAAGAGCATGGCATCCACGTTACTGCTAGGTGGGAGGCAAGTCCTTGTGCTGGCATTCCTGTACAACCAGAATCCATGTGCGCGTAAATGAAGCCAAGAAAGGAAGCAAACTAAACACTTGGCTCTAATCCAGTGGTGGATCCCGGATTTCAATTATGGGGGTACGGACCTAATTAATATAATTCTCTAACAATATATAGTACAATGGCTAGAAAGACGATAAAATGGTTAGTGTACGGATCTAAGGATACAATTTGCTGATATTCATTCGGAGTACACAAAAGTAGTCGCGCCAAGGTCTTAATAGTATATAGTTTTTTGCTTCTTTGGTATTCTTAATGAAGATTATTTAAAAATTCAAGACTCAAACTTCATAAATTTGAAACCAATGATTGTTTAGAAGAGAAAAAAGAGTCAATTTACATTTTTACTTTTCCTAACTCATTTTTTTTATATTGTACTTGTGTACTGATTTGTTGTGGTCTCCTATACTTTAGAAGGAAGCATGCTAATATGGGTTCGTAGACTATTTTAATCTCGGATGAGCACTTTCTTAAGAGATTGCTATTTGATAAGGTGTTCTAAATATATAGTGTGTTACAGGTATGCATACTTAGTATTTGTACAAAAAAAATTAGGGGTACACTACATCTGCTCCTGCTCTAATCCCTTATCCACCTCCGGTAACAAATCCGAAGAAGTCAATTTAAATCTAGCTGGAGAGGAGGAGATGCGGAACGGTCGGAGGAGGCCGCGCCGGGAGGCATCCGGTGAGGCCCGCTCTCGCCGCGCCGTGACCGGGGCCTAGCGCCGCCGCTACACCGCGCGTGTGTTATATAGGTATGCATACTTAGTATTTGTACAAAAAAATTAGGGGTACACTACATCTGCTCCTGCTCTAATCCCTTATCCACCTCCGGTACAAATCCGAAAAAGTCAATTTAAATCTAGCTGGAGAGGAGGAGATGCGGAACGGTCGGAGGAGGCCGCGCCTGGAGGCATCCGGGACGGTGGCAAACGGTGAGGCCCGCTCTCGCCGCGCCGTGACCGGGGACGTCCGCCGCCAGGGCTGACACGCGGCGCTGCGGCGCAGCCCGGGGGGCGCCGTCACGCCGCCAGTGCCTTGCGTGGTGTAGCGGCGGTGCTAGGCCCCGGCCACACCGCACCACATCTAGAGAGATAGGGAGAGGGAGAGGAGAGGGAGAGGGAGAGGAAGGTAGGGCGGGGGCGGAGGCGGCGGGGGCGGCGTTTCTGCGGGAGGAGAAGCGTCGAGCTCGGGAGAGGAGAAGGAGACGAGATACTTTGAGAAGAATTGGGAAGGAGAAGCTGAAGCTGGGTATATATTTGGTTCACTGGATTCGGACGCGAAGCCGGAGGAAGCAGAGAGAAGGAGAGGAGAAGCTATGGAGAAGATATAGAATCGAGGAGAATCTGATTCTAGCAGAATCCGGCAGAACCAATCGTAGCCACTCGTTGTGAGGATCGGACGGAGAGAACAATTTCAGGCGACGTGGCATGGGTTTCTGGTTGAGGAGCTAACACAATTTACTGGAGTAAATAAATACGTGTGCAGTAGAAGAAAATGGAATCAAGCCCATCGTCATCCGTGTTGGACACTGTACATACAGAACTACAAATTGGCAATAATGTTACATGTGAAATGAAAATGCAATGTGAAGAAGTGACAACCTTTTTAGAAAAAAAAATAATTATATTAAATTATAGCTAAGTACATCGTCATTTTACAAGTACTCTAGAATACAATACGTATACTGAGAAACTGTTCTTCATCTATATTGTACCCACGCTTCGTATAGCTCTAAATTTCAATCCCAAACCTATATGACGATTTATAGGATAACAGCATAAGCAAATACTCGTCAAATGCCCAACGAATGGCGGTCAACACTCATGTAGGCGGAATTGAACATAAATTGCTTTCTTGTGTCTTCCTTCTTCCTTACGCCACCGAAGAATGAGAAAAACCGATTTGAATCTTCTCAACTCAATACATTAATCGGCTTGAGGGACCGACTTAATTATTCTCACTAGTTTTTCATCATGGTCAGATCTAACCACAACAAAACGGAGAAGATACCGAAGAAAATTATTCCATGGTGGCAACATCATCTCTGCCTTGATGTCGCCGTCCGAAAACCTAATTCTCTATGTCATCATGTTGAGAAAGTTGTTGATGTCGTAGTTATCGCCCACATCTTCATTAAAGTCGTCAAGGAGAAACCAAATCCCCCTAGTACCCTAGCTCTTCGCCCTCACCGGAAAGAGGACGAGACAAATCCTCAATACCAAGAAACTTGCCATAGAGAGACCATAACCCTAACATGATTCAATCTACTGGAAAACTTATTAGAGAGATGGATCCCCACTCCCTCTAGCCGACGACGAGTTGCCGAAGGGGGACCAACGGTGGTGGAGGCGGGGGCCTGTGGCGTGGGGGGCCTGAAAGCATTTAGGCCCCTAATTGGGTTTCAGTGATTAATGACAATGTTAGATTACTGTGACTAACGTGTGTTTTGCAGAGGCAATTAAGTTAGGTCACGGTAATGGAGATCGATTGGGCAATCATGGTTGTCATGCCCCTACGATAGAAATCATTTCGGTTTTCAAAGGATGGACGACAAGGTTAAGGATGACTAGTTCTAAGTGTCGATTGGAGTTGAAGAGACACTTAGAGTAGTTTAGGACTTTGTTTTTCCTTTGGTCGTACTATTAAGGGGGGTATGGACGGGTAGCTTGACCTAGATGAGTCTAGTGACTTAGGTGTGGTGCACACTTGTTAAAACTAGCGCTAGGTAGCTCATACATATGCCTAAGACCCAATGGAGCAAACTTCATTCACGTATGATCGAGAGTTGGAAGTGAATGGAGGGTCAAATACTGACTGGACGCTGGCTCCGGTGCGACCGGACGCTGGCCGCAGGGTCCGATCAGTTCATTTGACCAAGGAAATTGCGTCTGGTGCGACCGGACGCTGAGTGGTCAAGTGACCGGACGCTGAGAGGCAGCGTCCGGTCAACTCCAGTAAGGTTCTAGAAAAGTAAATCTGCGACCGGACGCGTCCGGTCAATGTTGACCGGACCCTGAGGGTCCAGCGTCCGGTCGAGTACAGTAAGCATCTAGTGAGGGAAAAATGGAACCGAACGCGTCCGGTCAGTGGTGACCGGACCCTACCAGCGTCCGGTCAACACGTAATCACTGGTGTGCGGGTTGAACTGACCGGAGCATCCGATCACCCCGCAGAGGCACATAACAGTTCGTTTTTCAGGCTGTCTTATAAATAGAAGCTCCACTCGTGTGTTGAGTTACTTTTGCTCATTTCAACAGCTGAAACACACCTTAGAGAGTGCCAAGAAGAGCAAGATCCTGGTGAGGTGATTGAGATTTGAAAATCTAAAAAGAGCCCTCATTAGTGAAGATCAAGAGTAGCAAAGTGTGCATCCACCCTTCTCCCTAGGCTTGTTGTGGTCAAGTGAGAGTTCATGATTGTTACTTTTGGTGATCGCCATCACCTAGACGGCTTGGTGGTGATTGGGAGCTTGGTGATCATCCGGAGAGCTTGTTGATGACCCAACTCAAGTTGTGAGCGGTTGTGGGTGATTCACCGTGACGGAGTGTCGAAGAATCAACCCGTAGAGAGCACTTGATCCTTGTGCGGATCAAGAGGGAGCTACACCCTTGCGCGGGTGCTCCAACGAGGACTAGTGGAGAGTGACGACTCTTCGATACCTCGATAAAACATCATCGCGTTTCCTCTCCTCTCTTTACTTTGAGCATTTACTTTGAGCATTTTAATTCTTGTCATTTACATTCCTAGAATTGCCATGCTAGAGTAGGATTGGAACTAGATTGCTAAACTTTTGTGCGTTAGATCAATAGAAACACTTCTCTAGGCACAAGGGGTCAATTGGGCTAACCATAGGACTTGTTTATTGAAAAGAAATTTAGAATTAGCCCAATTCACCTCCCCTCTTAGGCATCTTGATCCTTTCTTGGGCCTCTGCTTGCGCCCTAGGGGAGACGAGCGAGAGTCCAATCTCTCATGCCGAAGAGGCAACACACTAAACATGCTATCATTCCCTGCGCCATGTAGATAGTTTATTTATTGTATAAAGGTCATAGTTTAGAAATAGTTTTTTAAGGTGCCTAATTCGCACACCACCTTAGGCGCCACGGTCCCTTCAAGGGGGAATGACAAAAAAACATAAGAGAAGTGAGAGATAGAGAGGACGGTAGGAGAGACTTTTTTGTTATGAATGACTTTTGTAGTTACATAACTTTTATTGTAAGGAAAAAGTCTAAATAACCCCCCTAATGTTTGACTACTCGTCTACTTAACACCTTCAACTATAAAACCATGTATCGAACACCTTAAACTATTGAAAACCAGACATATAACCCCGTAGAGTGGTTTTGTAGGCCGGTATTACTGAGTTGGCATGCCACGTAGGTCAGGGTTGCCACCATGGACATGAGACCCATCTGTTACTTCTTTTATTCATTTGCTCACCTCCTTTCTCTCTTCGACGCCAGTCCCGTGCCTCCCGCGCTTAGCGAGCCGTGCTTGCCAAGCTCAACAACGCCCAGCGTCTGGAGGCTAGAACCCCCTCTTCCACCATCTCAGAAAGGGCTTGAAGTAGAGCGCGAACGTGGCTATCGCAACGAGGGCGGTGGCGCTGGCATGGGTCCATGGGACCACGGCTAGCTGTCGCTTATGAGCAGTGGCGCCGACGTGGGCTGGCTTGGGCGCACCAAGCATATATGGCCCTAGCACACACCCGACGAGGCACCCGGGGCCCACGGTGAGGCACCCGACGAGGCACCTGGCATTGGCCGAATTACCGGACACAAACAGGTGAGCAAAGTTCATAACCTGGTTGCGGAGCTAGAAGAAGAGAGCATAGTCGATACCAGAGCACAATGACGGGGAGCTCGGCGGACAGGAGGAGGCAGGAGGCCTCGAAGTCAGGCATGGCGAAGCTACGCGGATGATGAAGCTGCCACCATGAAGTAGACCAACACTGGGAGCTTCGATGACGACGGTGTCCAGCATGAGGGAGAGAGATGGCGGGGTCGGAGTGTTGTGTGAGCATGCGAGGCCAGCGGGTGACACGAGCGCACGGGGGCACAGGGCTAGCGGGCTGGCGAGCACAGAGCTGGTGTTTTGCACAATCGTATCGGTTGACGTACGATACAAGCATGGGTAGACATTAGGAAGAGAGAGAGCATACATCCGACCGGCGAGCACTACATGAGGGAGAGAGATGCACGTGAGGCCGGCGCGCGGTGCCGGCGTGGAGCTGGCAGTTGACGCAGGACGTGTGTATCGATCGCAGTTGTGTATGAGAATAAAATAAACACTACGTGAAAAACGGTTTGTAGTAACGGGAGAAATTCTTTGTAGGGGCGGCTGGTGATGGAGCCGCCCCTATAATGGCGTGCTCAGAAGCCACGAGACCAGCCGTCCCTACAAATGGAACAGCAGGAGCGGCTGGTGATTGAGCCGCCCCTACAAATGCCCCGCGTATAAATACCTGTGATTTGTAGTGGCGGCTCAATCACCAGCTGCGCCTAAATGACCCACATATAAAACAAACTGCAGCACCTTCTTCCTCCTCAGGTCACTCACTCCAACCCGTAAAAGAAAAGTGGGGAGGCCTTGGGCACCTTCCAAAAATTGCTCTACTAAGAGGGAAAGGTTTTGGTCTCAAATCCTTTGATGGAGAGGTTGTAGAAGGTAAGAAAATGTTATTCTATACTTTTTTTGAAGTTTTAATGGTTGATTAGTGAGTAATTAGAGTTTTGCTTTTCTCTCTCTTCTATGATGCTTGAACTACTTATGAAGCAAATGAGACCCAAGTCTTAAATGTACTTGGATAAATTAGATAAGGGAACAAGATCATACCCTTATTTGGTCCATGTTTTTTGATTTTAGTGAACAATTAGTTAGTTTTATGGATGTTTCATATGCATATAGATCTAGATCTAGGGTTTGTTTTTTTTTAATTTTGTTTTTGTAAATTTATGTTTGATGAAATTGAACTAGGGTTTGCATGAAAGATATTGGGTAAAATATAATTGTTGCTATTTGTTATCTTTGAAATTATTTATTGTAATCAACAAATATGTATTTTAATTATTTATGGATAAATGGGCCATTAATTAATTTTCCTCTACCATGGTGTGTTTGTATGCTTCATATAATTTTCCTCTCACGTCGCAGGCGCCGTGCGTGGTCTCGATTGTCGGGGGGGGGGAGGAGATGCCCGCGCGCGTGATAGATTGATTGATTATCCGATCTCGAATTATATATGCATATGTATATATATGTTCTGTAAATTTGAATTAAAATTTTTTTTGTTGGAAAAATCTACTGTAGGGGTGGTTCTAGATTGAACCACCTCTACAAACAGGTATTATAGGGACGGCTGGTACTACAGCCACCCCTATAAATCGATTTGTAGGGACGGTCTGGGAACCGTCTCTACAAATACATGATTTATAGAGACGTTTGGGTAGGGACGGCTGAAAGCTCTAGTTTGGTTTTGGTTAATTGATGAAACCCTAAGTGCTAACCTAGTTTATCAAGATGATTATGAGATAGGTAGCACTATTTCAAGTGATGAAGCAATGACGAAGATCATGACAATGGTGATAGCATGGTGATGATCAAATGCTTGAACTTGGAAAAGAAGAAAGAGAAAAACAAAAGGCTCAAGACAAAGGTATAAAATGTAGGAGCCTTTTTGTTTTAGTGATCAAGACACTTAGTGAGTGTGATCACATTTAGGATAGATAGCCGGACTATTAAGAGAGTTGTAAAATGGTTATCAAAGTGCCACTAGATGCTCTAACTCATTGCATATGCATTTAGGATATAGTGGGTGCAACATTGAAAATATTTTGAAAATGTAATCACAAGGTGACGGGGTTGAATGGGTTTGGGCAGCTTTTGGAATAATGAAATGTCTATTTTCAGATGCAAAATAGTAGTTGGCACATTTGAGCTGGGTGAAGAAGGAGTTGAAATGGAGGCGTCGAATGATGTCTGGGACTGGACGGAGGAAGTCAGCCTGGGACGAGGGAGGCCTCCATCTGCTGCGAGGCACAAGATGGGTAAAGTTGAGCACGGACGCCGGGTCTCACGTCCGGTCAAGGTGACCGGAACGTCCGATCAAGAAAAACATGCCTCGGGAGCTTATGAAACGGCCGGACGATTTGGGGCTTCAACGTCCGGTCGGTTTTGTGGCGTCCGGTCGGGACGGAGCGTCCGTGGCTGAAATCGGCGAGCAGCGTTTGAAGCTAGTGACGCGTGGCATCCATCGGCGACCGGACGCGAGGCCAGCGTCGATCGTATGACCGAGCCTCCGGTCGGGCGTGTTGCCCTTGATGAAGGATACAATGGCTCTATTTGATGGGGCTCTATTTATAGCCCCATGGCGGCTCAAGGGAGCTCTATTGCACATTTTCATTGACATAGCAACCTTGTGAGCTTAGCCAAAGCCCTCCCACTCATCTCCATCATTGATCCATCTTCATTGTGAGATTGGGAGAGAATCCAAGTGCATTGCTTGAGTGATTGCATCTAGAGGCACTTGGTATTCGTGTTGCAATCATGGATTTCGCTTGTTCTCTTTGGTGGTTGCCACCACCTAGACCAGTTGGAGCAGCGGTGAAGGATCGGCACGAGTTGGTGATTGTTCGTGGCGCGCCGCGGTGATTTGAGGGGAGTTGTACCTTCCCGGTGGAGTGCGAAAGGTAACTCTAGTAAATTGCTCGTGTCATTGAGTTACCTCACTTGTGGGTCGGTTCTTGCGGTGTCCAATCGTGTGGGCGAGGTTTGTGAAACACCTCTTAGCCGCCGAACCACCAAGTGTTGGTCAACACAAGCAGGGGGACGTAGCATGTTGGCAAGCACGTGAACCTCGGAGAGAAAATCGATTGTCTCTCTTCTTTGTCTTTCTCCGGTGATTGGCTATATATTCATCTTGTGATTGGTTCATCCCTACACGTCGGTATAATCACTCTACTCACTCATTTACATTCTTGCAAACTAGTTGATACAAGCTCTTTAGTGTAATTAGAATTGAGAGTTTGCTTTATTATTTACATTCATCTAGTTGAGATCTTTAGAGTAGCAAGGTTGAGAGCTCTTAGTGAGTAATTACATAGCTAGTTTGTGTGCCTAAGTATTCATTGCAACTAGAATTGTTGGATAGGTGGCTTGCAAACCTTTGAGAGCTAGAGCAAGTTTGTATTACGTTATTTGTCATACTAATCAAATTGCTCTAGTTGATCAATAGATTTTAAATAGGCTATTCACCCCCTCTAGCCATATTAGGACCTTTCAATGGTATCGGAGCCGTGGTCACCGTTTGATTGAAGGTTAACAACCTCGGTGTCATATTATGGCTCAAGTTGTGTTCAACCATGTGGGGGCAAACCACCTTTTTTGATGGCACAAGCTATGGTTATTGGAAGAGAAAGATAAGGGTGTATCTTGGTTCAATCAATGAAAGTATGAGATGTAACTTGAGAATGATTATGCTATCATTGATCCCGCACAATCCCACCAACCAAGATAAGTCCAACAAGCAATGCAATACAATGGCTCTTAACACCTTATACAATGCCATTGATCCAAAGGTGTTTGAGCAAATCAAGGATTGTGAAAGAGCAAATGAGGTGTGGAAGAGATTGGAGGAAACATATGAGGGCACACCGGCGGTGAAGAGTGCCAAGTTGTACATCCTCAAGGACAAGTTGACAAGTTTCAAGATGAAGGATGATGAGAGCATTCCGGAGATGTTCCATCGGTTACAAGTAATTGTCAATGACTTGAAGGCTTTGGGAGAAAAGATCAAGGATGATGATGTCTCCCATCGATTCTTGATGTGCCTATCTCCAAGATTTGAGATGTTGAGATTGCTCATCATAAGAGGAGGATTGAAGGATATTACCCCTAACCAAGTACTAGGTGATGTCATGACATAAGAGACATACCGTGTGGAAAGGGAGGGGGATGACAAGGATGACAAGAAGGAAGAAAAAGACAAGAAGAAGAAAAGCATAGCATTCAAGGCTTCCTCCTCCGATATGGAGGTTGTCATCGTAGTCCGCGCCACCGGGAGCCCCTTCCGCAACTACGTTGCAAGGAGCCCATTGCGCGAACCGGAAAGGAGGCGTGACCGTGGTATGAAAATAAGCTATATCGACATACCTCTTCTTCATAAATCGATTTTGAGATATGGACAATTTTTTGGTGTCTCCGTAAATAAAACGACCGCTCCCGTAAATCGATTTTGAGAGATGGGCAACTTTGGGTTTTTTCTTTTTGTAAAGTCTGCCTCCAAAAATCATAAGGTATTTTGGGAGACATGTAAATTTGTGACTGTCTCATTAATAAAACTAGCATGTCTCTTAAAATCTTATTAGTAGTGTGACCAAATAACAACAACGAAGAGAGTATTAGAGACGACCATCCAAGAGGTGGGAGTGAGAAGGATCAACTTCCATTCTAAATTATAATATATTTTAGCTTTTCTAATATGTAATTATGCACTTTGATATACACTATTTTTATATACATATAGTACTAAAAAGAATAAAAATTTAGAATGAAGTATTAGGTAACGTATATATATATAGATATGGACAAAGATTTATAGATGAAAAAAAAAGAACTAGAGCGATAGCACAAACTGATCAGTGCAAGGCTTCGATCCAAGCTCAATCATTATTTCCTCTTTTGATTTTTTTTTTCGAGGACCGAGCTCAATTGTTCGATTCAGCAATGAGCTGCATCATCTTTTGTTCCATTCGTCTCAGTCACATCCACACATGACGAATTTCATTTCCCAGCAAAGAACTCAGCCAGTCGATCCATGAGCGCCAGGGCCTCATCGCAGACGGGCTTGAAGAGGAAGAAGACGTGGTCCTGGCCCTCGGACTCGAACCACTCCACCGTGCCGCCCCACCCGCTTGCCTTGATGGCCTCGTAGTACGCCCTGTCCCTCGGCGGCAGGGAGTCCAGCTCCGCCGCGCACACGAGCACCCTCTCGCACGGCAGGTCCCGCAGGCTCGGCGCCGCGGCGGCCAGGGGATTGACCCGCGGGTCGTCCACGCCGTCCGTCGCCTCGAGGCACACGACCGCCCACAGCTTCTCCATCGTCGCCATAGACGCCGGCGCCTCGCCGTCGACGGGCTCCCTGCCCCCGAACCCGGCGTGCAGGAGGACCGCGCCCTCGATCCGCGCTCGCGCCTCCGACGACGACGCGGCGGCCGCCATCATAGCGACGTTGTGGACAATGTTCCCGCCGGCGCTGTCGCCGGCCAGGAAGATGCGGCGCAGGTCGCCGTGGCGTGACAGCCAAGGGTCCGGGTCCCCGGCGCTGGCAGCAGAGGCCGCCCACTCGAGCGCGCGGAAGGAGTCCTCGTAGCCTGCCGGCAGCGGGTGCTCTGGCGCGAGGCGGTAGTTCACGGAGACGATGAGCAGGCCGGCCTTCGCGGCCAGGGCGGTGAGGAAGCGCTGGTAGACCGGGGACGCTGCCGACTGGGTGACGAAGCCGCCGCCGTGGAAGTAGACTAGCACCGGGAGCTTCTTGTTGTTGTCGTTGGGCGGTGACCCGGTACCGGTTGCCATGTCCGGGAGGTAGAGGCGGACGTAGAGGCCGGCGTCGCTGTCTATAACGACGTCTTTGGAGGTGACGCCGGTGGCCGGATCAAAGCCGGCCGGCACGGTCTCGGTGCCCATCAAGCGGTCGATGCGCCGGTCGCTGTAGATGCGGAAAAACCGAGTGTCGAGGATGATGTCGGAGCTCGGATCCATGGCGAAAGGGTGCAGCGGGTGCGGTGGGGAGTAGTAGCAAGGCAGATAGCTGGAGATCGGATGGCCCAAGGCTCCGAAGTCTTAGCGACCCCGAGCCAACCAAAGCCAGTTGCAGTCGATATTAAAAGGGTCTGTGGAGATGTCCATGTCCATCGCCGCGGAAGGCAAGAGACTGACGGACACAATGGCAATTAGCAAATGTATACTCCCGTGCCGTAGCAGGTAAGCACTTTCGACTTATTGGGCCCGTGAGGGCCTAATACTGTGCAGACATCGATGGGCCTCTTTTATAAAGTTTCAGCCTACTTCGACTCTGGTACTCTGATAGAGGAAAAGCCCATAATTCCATCCCTTCGTTGGCCCATGAGGTATTCTGCCACGGAAGGATGAAGAAAAAAAAAAGAGAGGAAAGAGAGTTCCCTTTATATCTTCCTATAAACTAGTGCACTTCTAGAGTTTAATTTTTTCCCAAAATAAGTGCACGTCTACGTATAAGACAACATAACTCTATTTGGTAAAGTGATGAGTTTTCCAAGTGACTAAAAAAGTCGAGAGCGTATTTGTTAGCTTTCTTTCTAAAATCTCGCTTCTAAAAGATAGAAGGTAATTTATATAAGAAATCCCAAAACATATTTCTAAATCACCTCAACCATTTTTATACTTTCTTTCTCTTCTATATATTTGTATCAGGAACTGTGGCCTACTTATTATTTTTTCCACATCCTTCTACCTTAGATTGGCCCAATGATATACGCGCATATTTATCCGTGCAACGGGGTCGATTTTTTCAAGTGCCAAAAGATTGAGAGGTGGGGTTGGGAATTGTTGGAGTTATAAAATCATGGATTGAGATATTATTTTGGGAACTCTTGGAGATGCTCTAATAGCTATTAATTTTTAGCAGGAGGCTGTTTGGATCCACCTGCTAATAGGTGGTTGGATAATGAGTTAAATATGTATATGAACTATTAGCACCTATTAACAACTTTAAACCTGCTAATGGAACTAATAGTTAGCAACCCTTCAACTAATAATTAGCAGGTCTGTTTAGACCCACTTATTCTAATTTTAGCTACTAAATTTAGTGCTAATGAATTTAAACAGGCCCTTAGATACACTAGCGCTAATTTTTAGTTAGCTAGCAATTAGCCTTTTGATCTAAATAGACCCTAAGTAACAGATGTGACGCCGGTGATAGTAAAGACTAAAGAGAAGAAAAATAGAAACCATAGCATAAAATTGAGATATTTTATGATGGTATTTATGGAATTGTCTTCGTAAGAAGAGAGCAACGATCGGACATGGATTAGAGAGAGAGAAACGGAATGACACATGTGCCGGCTGATGGAGGGATATTTGTTGAACCATAAGTCCATAAGTCTATCGGATACATAAGCCAATAGGTGGATCCAAAATTGTTGGAGACATGTAAAGTAGCACAGTTCAAACAAACATTATAAATTATAATGACATCATTCCTATATGATGACCAATAGTAGCCGCGGATCAAATTATATACTCCCTTCGACCCTAAATATCTGTCGTTTTGGTTTCTCGAGAAATAACTTTAATTAAATATGTATTAAAAAGTATTAATGTTTATGATATATAATTAGTATCATTGATAGATATTTAAATATAGTTTTTTAATAAATTTATTTAAAGATACAAGTGTTACATGTATTTTCTATAAATTAAATCAAAGTTATCGGCACGCAAATCGTGGCGATAAACATTTAGGAACAGAGGGAGAATATTTATAATGACGTAGATTTAATTTAATTAATAAACCATGTTATAAACAAAAGAATAAAAAAAAGAGTAAACCCCACCTTGCTCGCCGCCTCGCCGGTCGCAGCCGCCGAGGCGCCGAGCACAGTGCTGAGACCTTCTCTGGACCCCTCTCCAGTCTCCACGTCTCCACGGCCGGCCGTATCGATGAGCTGCCTAGTCACTTCCTGAGCCGCTGCCGTACACCATGTCGTCGACCCGGCGGCTCGTGCCGCCTGCTGTCCACAAGCTCCGATCCCGCCGCCGCCTCTCCTCCACCTCCTCTCCCACCCCCAACACCCCAAATGCCGCCGCCATCCTCGCCAACCTCCTCCACGGGCACACCCCGTCCACCGCCACGCTGTCCCTCCTCCGCGCGTCGCCCGGCCTCGCCTCCGAGCTATACGCCCTCATCGCCGAGCCGGCCCACGCTTTCACGCCTGCCTGCCTCGCTACTCTCCACTCCCTCGCGGCCCGCCACCGCATCCCGCCTCCCGCCTCCCTCCGCGTCGCTCCTTTCCAAGCTCCTCGCACGCTTCTCCTCCCCAGCCGACGCCGCAAGCTTCCTCCGCGACTCCCTCGCAGCGAGCGCGCCGGCGCCGGACGTTTCCACCTTCAACTCCCTCCTTTCCGCGCTCGGCCGCGCTGGCAACCTGCGCGGCATGACGGAGCTGTTCACCTCCATGCGAGAGGCCTCCGTCAAGCCCGATATCGTCACCTATGGGATACTTCTCAACGGGCTCTGCAAGTCAGGCCGCGTCGGGGACGCGCTCAAGGTGCTCGACCGAATGTCCAGCCCAGGCTCGGACGTCTGTGCGGATATTGTCATCTTGAACACCGTAGTGGATGGGCTGTGCAAGATTGGGAGGCTGCCGGATGCCATTGTGTTCGTGGATGAGCGGATGAGGCACGTCCATGGGTGTGCGCCCAACACAGTTACATATAACTGCTTGGCTGATGCGTGTTGCCGAGTGGGGAATATTGGCATGGCTTGCCAAATTGTGGAGAGAATGGAGAAAGAGGGTGTGGCACCGAATGTTATCACGATGAACACAATTGTTGGTGGCTTATGCCGAGTTGGTAGGGTTGGTGCTGCACTGGATTTCTTCCGTGAGAAGAGGACAGCTTGGCCGGAGGCCAGGGGCAATGCTGTGACCTATAGCACTTTGGTTAGTGCTTTCCTCCATTGCAACAATGTGGGCATGGCCATGGAGTTGTTCCATGAGATGCAGGACCAAGGGCATCCACCAGATGCAGTCATGTATTTCACCATGATATCTGGATTGACACAGGCAGGGAGGTTGGTGGATGCTTGCACCATTGCGGCATCGATGAAGAAGGCAAGATTTAAGTTGGATGCAAAGGCATACAACATTCTGATTGGTGGATTTTGCCGGAAGAAAAGGTTGCATGAGGCCTATGAGTTGCTTGAGGAGATGAAAGGAGCTGGTCTTCAGCCAGATGTTTACACCTACAATACCCTGTTATCTTGTTTGTGCAAAGCAGGAGATTTCTCTGCTGTGGATGAATTATTGGGGAATATGATTGATGATGGCTGTCAGCCTACTGTGGTCACTTTCGGTACACTGGTACATGGATATTGCAAAGCTGGGAAAACAGATGAGGCATTAAGAATTTTCAGGTCCATGGATGAGGCCAGGATTCAACCCAACACTGTAATATACAATACTCTAATTGACTTCCTCTGCAAGAGCAGAGAAGTTGATGCAGCTATCAAGCTGTTTGATGAGATGAGGGAAAACAATGTGCCTGCAAATGTGACAACCTACAATGCATTGTTGAAAGGTCTTCAAGATAAGAACATGCCAGAGACGGCTTTTGAACTTATGGACCGGATGAGAGAAGAGAGGTGCACTCCTGATTATGTGACTATGGATGTTCTCATGGAATGGCTGCCTGAAATTGGTGAAACAGAGAGATTAAAATGTTTCATGCAGCAAAGGGATCAAAAGGATAATCATGCCTTACGTGTTTGACCATGAAATGAATTCATATTAACTAAAGTTGCTTAGAGGCAATTTGACTTGGCTTAGAGGCAAGAATTTGGAAACCATTTTCTAAATCCTAGCTAGCCCTATGAGATGGATTCCTTGGTCAGAATTGGCAGCAACTGTAGCCTGTATTGTAGAAGTGTTCGTTCAGTTTTAGGGGCCATAAGGCATAATTGATTCAGAGCAGGTTATTTGGTACATATTGTGGCAAATCTAAGGCTATTCTATTGTTGCCAATCAGGTCTTTGCAAGTTAGGTACTATTTCATTTCCTTTGTCTGGTTTTGTAAATTTATAGTTGTTGTAGACTGTAGAAAAATGGATTTGCAATTCAAGCCTATTAAGTATTAACTCAATCCCCTATTAGATGACAGTTAAACAGATACCAATGTACCAAGTCATTCTTGATACCACTCAATATCAAATGAAGTCCTTATTCTTCAACAGATAATGTTGAATATTTTTTGTTAGAAAAGAAAATGTTAAGGGCACAGCCATATGTAGTCAATGTTTGGAACCCTCTGGCATGAACCTTGGTTAGAACAAAGGTCCTCTTGCAAAGCTATATTCCATTTTTTTTAGTTTATATGCTTTGAAGTCTTTTGCACCCTAAAACTTCTTATATGAATGCAGTATGATTGAGTTTAATTTTTCAATTATAGAATCCCTCATATACAGCTCCCTTGATAATTGTAAAAATCTGTACTTAAAGGATGCATGGATGAATCTGTTAGTAGAATGTAAATGCATATTGCATTTGAAGTTACTCAGAAAGGCATATTCACCATATCTGAAAGAATAAAGTGTGAATGTTATCTTACAGAAGAACTGATGTTTGAACAATCTTTCATATACAACTCTCTTAACTGATATTTGATTATGCAAGAAAGCTTTTGAAATGTGGATTTGAGTATTCTTAGCTTGAGATATGTACTGACTTATATATTTTGATTGTTAACTATGTCTAGCAATAGCATCATTGGGATTGCTTCTGGCATCTTCTCCATATGCCAAACCATTTGCTTTGTACGTATTGCTGATTTTGATTGTCAGTCAAAATATCCTGACAATGTTCTCTATTGCCATGAAAGATAAAAAGGGGCCTAACCATTGCTAGGTAGATCTAGGAATGTAATTGTCGATTTGGAGAAATGAGGTTCTTTTTAACCGCCTCATCGTCCTTGCTTGCCAATTTCTGTTGTCAGTTTGAGCAGCAAACTTCAGTGACCATATTGAAGAGAATGGCATAACGGAGGTACTTGTTGCTCCACAATTGCAGTCCTAGAGATGTGCTGTGCGCGCCTACGCCCATGCCCTATCACAGAAAGGTAAATTAGTAAATATGAATTCACCTTCTGCTTGTTAGTTTTGAGATTACATGGACAAATATAGAACAAGGATTAAACTTGTCATCACATAGTGCTGCATCTTTGAATTAGCCTATATTAGCAAACCTTATGTGCAGACTTCCAAGCAGAACTCAGAACTTCTGAGCAGTTACAATTTAAGCTCCAATTGGTGTTAGGCCTAATTCAAGAAATTCGAAAAAGTCACTTAAGAAACTGAAATAAGCAGTTTCTTCTCTTGTTTGCCTACTTTCCAATTGCTGCACATGTGAAGTACCGTAAGAAAATTCTCATGTGGACGTCATAATTACACAAAAGAGTCTTAGCCTTGCAAATGTCAACAAACCGAATAGCCTTGCTGTTAGTTTGAGTGCACTTCTGACAACAAATCACACCTAAAACGTGACAACTCATATGTCATACCTTCATGCAGTAGTACACAGCTCTCCCTATATATGTGAGTAAAATCTGTAATTATGTTCAAATGTTGCAAATCCCAGGATTAACATGTGAACTCATCTTCTACAGGACCTGCAAAAAGGAAAACTCCAGCACCACCAATAACAATTGAAAACTGGAGCAGAGATTGAATGCAGATTGAACCCATGGCAAGGCTGTAGGTGGTACACATTTTGTCAGTTGATGACAACCATGTATGTGGACTTGTTCCTGCCAGTTGTTTCTCCTGCTGGAAATTCTCGAGCTACACTTCTGCATAAGCATAAAGGTCAGACGAAACCCATGTTGGCTCGGCAGGATTTCCGTGTCATGTCCCTTGCAACTTCTGTGATCTGCTGTTGTGGTCAGTGAAAGAAATCTCGTTTCACCGCCTCCTGCCTGGCTGCCTCCTGGCTCCTGTAGTGGTTATCGATATTGGTGGATGGTGCTGCCAGGCAGAGATGCCTTAGCTAAGAAAGACAAGACAAGGTAGGAGAGGACAACAAATTAAAGACAAAACGCCAAGCGCATTCATTACTCAAAGTTTCATAGACCTCGTCAACTGTAGTTCAGCTCATGAACATATCCTGAAGCACCGTGTCAAATGTGGTGACGGTGTATTCAACCGCTGGGTTTAGATTTTAAGAGGGTGACGAGGTTTTGCTTACTTTTTTGTGTGTTGCCTGTCGTGCACGGAGGTGGCAAGTTGACAATCAAGCCACCGTTTTGTTGGAACCAGAACTGAGTCCCGTCAGCTGTAATTTTTTCTGAAGCCAGAATCCCCAGATTTCTACTACGGGTACCTGGGCATTTTCTCGGAACGATGTGCTTGGGACCAGTTTGGTATAGTTCTGATGAAAGGAACCCATACCGCATCACGGTCACGGGTGAAGGAGCAAGACGGAGAGCCGTACAAGTCACTGCCACATGAGGTCGGGATCGTAGAATTTCGCCCGCCGGCCTGCCTGCCTGCCTTGCTGCGACCAAGAGCTTCACGCCTCCGTCGCCGGGCCAAAGCCGTGCCGCACGGGACGACGAAATTCACGGCACAGCACGTAGGCAGTAGGTCCGAGAGTTGTGCAAGTCGTCAGGATCTCCCCGTCTCTTGTTGCTTGAGTAGTGTTGCGTTGCCTACATGCTTGACCTAGCTGGATAATTTGGTACTAGTAATAACTAGTCAAATCTCGTGGCTAAACGTTACATGATTTGCCAATACCATGTTCTACTCTTTTACTTGTATATATAAGCAGGGTGCCTGCCGGATGTGATCTAGCAGTTTCTGATAGTCAGATAGATACCGTGCAGCACTGAAACTCTGACAACTTTGCGATGATGGCAGATTAACAAGGCAAGTTTATTTGAAACAAGCCAGCCGCTGATCGAACCATGTTAAAGTGTTAACGACAAGACGAAGCTGGTAGCATCTTCTGGCCAACCTCTAGAGCGCTTTCTTGGAAATGGCGATACTGAAATTTGACTTGGATTGGAGAAACATCCCATGATCCCAAGGTGAAAAGTCAGACCAAGGACGAGCGTGCATGCTCGAATGCTCGATCGCCATGCAATGCAAGCAACGAGGCGAGAATTTCATGTAAAATAGGGAGGTACGCAAATTAAAGAGCTCAACACAAATAGGGAGGCAAAGAAAATTACACTTACTTAATATAAAATAAATTATTTTATTTATTTACTCCTTGTCTTGAAAGCCTTCAACTTATATATGATGACAAAAGCCATATGCATGTAAGTAAAAGGACGACCAAGCAACAAGATATATAAAAAAAAACTCGACCGGGGGTTAAGACTGCCCCGCAGCATTACAAATAAGAAAAAGAACCTTCTCACCCGGCCGAGAAAACCCCCGAACCCTCGCCCCCACCCTTACACGGTGGCTTTCCGTGCCCAAGTGAGAATTGGGCCGGTGCCCCCTAGTGCTTTGGTTATGGGGACGGACGAGGAGATTTTTTTAACCTCAGCCTGAAATTCGTTCCCATGGAGAGTCGAACATAGGACCTGAGGAGTGTCGCTGGGCCACCTAACCGATTGAGCTAGGCGCCCTTTGGCTCAACAAGATATATATAAACACGCCACTCAACTTGATCAAGGTACGTAATGTTTTAAAATCAAATAAAAAATAAATTAAATATACAGTGTACGGTGGAACAATGGAACAATAATATACAGTGTGCGGTGAAACCTAGGACGTTAATAATAAAGGAATAATATTTCTTGTTGTAATTGCTTATAAAAGTAAAAATTTAACAAAAAATATTTGCTGCTTGGGTTCGAGCCTAGGTCTGTGGGCTGAGACCCGTGCGTCCAAACCAACTGGACCACAATGAGATCATTGCATGTTCCTCGAAATAAGTTTTCTAATTCTATTGCTTATAAAAATGTAGCAAAAAAAAATTTAGAGCCGGGGTTCGAACCCAAGCTTTTGAGCTAAGTCACGCGCGTCCTAACCAGCTGAACTGCAATGGCATTGTTGCATGTTCCTTGAAACAATTATACTTGTTTCATTTCAAACGCCAAGATCTATAGGGTAACAGCTCGGCGCCAAGATCTACGAGGCCTTGTTCACGTCGACGCCAGGTCACCGCCACGTCCGACGCCTCGCCAAGACCTCGGCGCCATTGGCCATGGCGCCGAGACGTGTTTCCTCGGCGCCAAAAGCCATGGCGCCGAGGTCAGGTAATCAAACCACCGGGGTCTTTTTGTGAATATTTTTCATAAAAAGATTGAAAAATAAAAAATTCGGTATATATAAGCAGGGTGCCTGCCGGATGTGATCTACAAGATGCAAAAAGATTGAAGAACAACGTTTTTTCTCACAAAAATTCGGTATATATAAGCAGGGTGCCTACGCCGGATCCCAAACATCTAGCTAGCAGTTTCTGATAGTCAGATAGATACCGTGCAGCACTGAAACTCTGACAACTTTGCGATGATGGCAGATTAACAAGGCAAGTTTATTTGAAACAAGCCAGCGGCTGACCGAACCATGTTAAGAGGAAGCTGGTAGCATCTTCTGGCCAACCTCTAGAGCGCTTTCTTGGAAATGGCGATACTGAAATTTGACTTGGATTGGAGAATCATCCCATCAGGGGGGGGGTGGTTCGGTAGAGCCCTTATGAATTTTTAGAAAAAATTCTATAGTGTAGGGGGCTGAGACTTAATCGAAGCAGCAGTCGAAGTTATGTGTTGTTCAGTCTCCGCTAAAATATTTTCTGTATCCGTCGCTGCATCCCATGATCCCAAGGTGAAAACTCTGACCAGACCAAGGACGAGCGTGCTGCTCGAATGCTCGATCGCCATGCAATGCAAGCAACGAGGCGAGAATTCCAAGCCCCCGACGACCGTGTGATGTGCGAACGACGAAGAGGACCAAATTTGTACGGAAGTGCCCGCTGCCGCGCGCACATGATCCATGACAAAACCGATCCGCTGACCAAGGACGTCCGTTACAGGGGATTGCTAATTCTCGGTCGAGTCAAACTAGACCCCCTCCAAACGGCCGAACCTGCCTTTGCCTTGTCTCACAAGGCCATCACCCGGTCAAACTCTAAGCACTTCCTCCCTCCTGTCTAAACAAAAATACCACTAGCTTCTCCCTGTTGAACAAGAACAATGGTGGCCCAAGTAGAGGTAGCCTTGCTGCCAGGACGGTGTTGGTCCAACTAATCGCCCCGCTTGACTTATCAAGCCGGCGCCAGGTGCTGCCATCCGCATGCTCCAAAGTCATTGCCCTGTCACCTGCACGCATGGGTCAACACGGCAGGCTCTGATGTTTGACCTCCTCGCCGGCGAGCGTCTCATTTCGTCGCCGCCGTACGTGCGGCCGGCCCCACTGACAGCGACGAGGAATTGCCGCCATTAATTCCGCTTCTACTTCTAACATACAGGGCGGGCAGGCACGGGACAAATGCATGGCGTGGCGCCGGTGCAAATGAAACGATCGGCGCCGTCCGTGGCGAGCGCGCGGCGACTTTTCTGATGAACGCGCTGCGCTGGCAACCAAGTCACCGCACGGAACCGCCATGCAACTTCCGCCCGCCCGAGATCGCAATGCCTCTTCGCCCAGCTCTGCACCACCCTCCCTTATATATACGCCGAGACCCGTTCCGTGGCTACCTACTTTGCTTGCACTACGCAAGTTCTTTCTGATACGACCGGGGCTTTAGTACTTGCTCGCAAACAAGAAGGAGCCAGCCAGAAGATCATCAGGGGGTAGAGAAGGAACAAATAGTTCGGCCATGGCAATGGTCATGAGGAGGAGGGGAGGACTCGTTCTACCGGTGGTGATCATGGCGGTGCTGCTGTTCTTGGCCGTGCTCGGCGCGGAGGCGCGGTCCTTGAGCGGCGACGGCGGCTGGGCGGCCACCGGGGACGGGCCGCTGCCGAACGGCGGCGTCTTCATCGTCGAGACGCTCCGGCGGCTGTACCTGCAGCAGCTGGGAGCGGGGCCGTCGTGCGAGACCAACAGCCCCAACAACGCCTGCCCGCCGCCATAGGATTTATGGTCTTGTGCCGAGCGCGGTGCGTGGAGGGTCACGTCGTCCAGAGATCCACGGCCAAAGAGCGCCCTCGCTCTGGTTCTCATGCATGCGGTTTGCGCTCGCTCGAAGTTCGTCCAGACATCAAGGCGTTTTCCCGTCGTATCGATGGTTGGATTTAATTTGTTGATTGATTGGTTTTTCTTTGTAACTTTTGATTTGACCACGTACGCATGGTGTGTGCGCACGGTGCGTGGCAATTTGTACAGCAACATTGTAAAAGATAGTTTGAATACTATTATAGGAAATAAGTGTGCAAATTCTTTTGTTGATGAATAACATGCATGGAAATATTTTACTGGATAAACGGATTAAATTTAGCGAAACTTTTCACTACCTCTCGTTGCAATCCATTTTTTTTCGAGACCCAGTTATAGACGCAGACGCTCACATATATGAACGCAAGCACATACACCCTATCCCTACGAGTACCTCCGAAAAACTGAGTTAGACCGGCAAATCTTGAGATTGACGAAGTTACTATAGGCGTCTTGCTATCGATGAGTAGCACTTTTATAACCATTGCGTATACTGTATAGTGAATTCAAAATGGTAAAATAGTGGATCACGATTATGGTAAATATATACGTAAAAATTGGCACGAGAATGGAAAATACAAATACGACGCAGAGGAAATTTAAATATCTCTGAAGACGGTTCATATAAACAAACCGCCCTTATAAATTCATCTGGAGGGGGGTAATTAGCTTTGCATTTCTAGGTGCGGTTGCAGCTCGGTCTACAAAGTCTGCATCTTCACATTCAGTTGCATAGTATCAGTTTCAAGAACTACCCATAAAAATTGTTTTTAACCATAAAACTTCTTTTACGCAATAGTGAGTGTGTGTGTGCGCGTGAGTGTGTGTGTGTGAGCCACAATAAGGGTAGAAGGGATTAAAAAGTACTACAAAAATTAATAAAGTCATCTTGACAACATAAATGTAAATCTAACACACATATATGGGTGTCAGACATAACCACAAAATTTCAATCTTGCATTGGAGAAACACCAATTCAATATAATAGTCCTCCTTGGTAACAATGAAAATTCTAAAAGAGATCCTTGCTCGGATCCTCGATGGTTTCATGATGCAATCATGCAACACTTGTGTAGAAGTTTGTGAATGTATGTTTATTTGCTTGATTAAAATGTGATGGTGGCAACGGCTCAAGCAGTTTGCCTTAGTGTGTGTCTTTAGATGCATTTGTAGCAAGATTGTGGGCCGTAGAAGTAGAGGAAATTTGACATGATAGGGAGGAGAATCGGCAGAGGTAGTTACACCATTGGGAAGGAAAAAAGGCAGAGAGGCATTATTGGATTGACGAAGGGGGAGAGATCGAAGCTGGTCCTACGTGATGTGGCCATAGAGAAATCTGCTAGTGAGGGTTAGCAATTTAGACATGAAGATACATGCATAAAACATAGCAAAAACATACTTTCTTGAAACTATGGAGTGAACACAATTTTACATGCCCTTAATATCAGAGAAAGGTTATAAACCATCAACATACAAGCCCCTTTTTTTTTTGAACAGGTCAATGTACAAGCTGTATCCTTCTACCTGCAAATATCTCTTGCAGTTAGGAATGTTTCTTTGATGGCTCTCTTTCTTAGTAACATCTTACATGGTAAACCACTTTGTTACACAAATATCTTACTATCAATATAGGCTTTCAATGGACCCTCTACATTAATCTCCAAAAGATGCACACAAAAAAAGAAGAATCTTGTTATTCAAGAAAATCAGAAAGATATGAAATTATCAATCTTATCTTATCTTATACTCTTATAAAGCAAAATACTACTAGCTATTTATCTCAACATGCAAGCTGTCCATCTAGGCAATGCACTATCATATACTATTAAAATCCACTAAGCAAAACCCCACTGACTATTTATCTCAACATGCAAGCTATCCAACTAGGCAATGCACTATCACATACAATTAAAATTCACTAGAACATGCAACTGTAATGTCCACGTTAGCAAGACACGTAAGCATTTTGTTGAACACGTCATCATACCATGCAATCCATAATCCGTAATTCCCGTAGCAACGCGCGGGGTATGCTTCTAGTTCAATAGACTCTAATCACCGATCATAACAATATCCATTGCACCAATTCTATTTTTTCAAAAAATTACCCATTATGCCATTGAACATAAACTAACCCCTAAATCTACATCTAAATTATCCACCTCATCCATTATGAAACATAATCTAGAATTGGATCTAAATTACATGCCTCACCATTATGATAGATAATCTAAATAACCCTTTAATTTGAATTTAAATTGAATATTTATGCCATTATTAAAAATGAAGTAAAAAATACCCTCAAGTGTACATTTAAATTACCAACATCACCTATGAAAGAAAATATAAATAACAACTAATTACGCCTATATATGTTTCTAAAGTAGCCACTCTTACCACTATTTAATACATAAAAAACTAAATTAAAGTAAACATATATGTTATAACATCATCCAGATCAAGTATACATGCATACATGAGTATAAATAAAATAATATATTTATATGTTTTAGTGATAAAAAAGTTATTTCTTTAATAACTGATATATCGGCAATCCATTTCAAAGTATATTAATGCCCATAACAATAATTTAGGTAAATATTACTTTATATAATTTTAAGCATTTTGACCGAAATAGTATGGCATAAATATTGAAAGTATTATTGTAAACACTCTATTTTGTAAAAAGTTATGCTATGCATATAATTCTTTGATATAATAACTGAAATTTATTGAGCAGTGGAGGCGGCTAGTGTAGACCAACGGTTGCTATGCCCTCTGGTTTTAAAACACTATTTGCTCAGGTGGAATTTTAACACTATTTGACTCTAAATGAATTTAAATGAAAAAGTTGTCAACTATAAAGTTTTATAACTTTTCGAAATCTACAACTTTGGTTTTGGTTGTTTCTTCATCCGAGGTTGTTTGAAAAATGACTTTCAAATGTAAGAAATTCAAACATAATTTTCCATGCATAGCTGAATTCAAATGAAAAAGTTGTCAACTACAAATTTGCATAAATTTTTGAGATCTACAATTTTTGTTTTGATTATTTCCTCCATCCGAGGTCATTTAAAAAATTTGAATTTCTAATGTAAGAAATTCAAACGTAATTTTCCATCCATAGTTGAATTCAAATGAAAAAGCTGTCAACTACAAATTTGCACATTTTAATCATTTTAAACTTGTATACGAGTTATAACATAGCAACTCTAGCAACGACATAGAGTCTAATTCCCAAATATGTTAGAATAGATGACACGTCATCTAAGCCGCAAATCATGTAGACTACCGCATAACAAGCAATTGTGTAACATATATGGGCATATTTGTGGTTTGCTAGTATAACTTTGCCAAGACTTACTTATCTAACTTCTATGTGTAACTTTGCCAAGGACTATCTATTAAAATATTTTTTGGGTCATCATTGAACACTTGCAAGTACTTAAATGTATAGATGGAAAAACGGACGATCCGTCCTAGGGTCTACTTAGGCACGGCCCAATTATGATGGGCCTAGCATGGCATGGGAAACGAATCGGGCAATGTTGTGCCAACCCATGGGCTTAGCTCCTGGCCCAACAAGGCACAAGGTAGGATTTAATCGTGCCAGGCTAGGCCGGATAGCCTGCCAATAGCCTAAGGGAGGGGCATCGACGGCCGAAAGGGGAGGAGATCAGTAGCCAGACGGCGCAATGCCAAGGCCCGAGGGCCTAGGGCACAAGGTAATGGATTTCATCATCCATTTGGGTATTCCATGAACGCATTTTGCTCTAGTATTAGCATAGTATTAGTTAGGAAAATGTCTATTTAATCTCCTCAACTATTGGTGTTCGCCTACTCCACCCTCACACTTAATTAGAAAACCATATATTTTTACCCCTTAAAGTATTAAAATTATGTAGGGTGGTTTTGAAGGCAGTCTTGCTGACGCGGTATCAAGGGTTGACTACACAATCCATTGAACTATAAAACCTAGTATTATACCCCTTACAGTATCTAATACCTTTCCAATGACCACCACAAATAGTTTATAGCGCTATTTTATCATCATACCCCAACATATTGGTCTGGTTACCCATGCTTCACATAGGCCCATTTGTAACTGGGTATACATTCATTTTTTGTTTCCTTTTACCCTGCATCCTCTCTCCTCAGTCTCCCTCTCCCATCTCTCTTTCTAGTCTACCCCACCTCCCGCGAGCAACCCGTTATCTCTTGTCTCCTACTCAACCTCTTGACATTCATTGATGGCATTGAGCTCATTCACCATATCTATCCCAACGCCATCCCCTCCCACATTCTCCCTCTCGTTTTCTCCTCCTATAGCTACCTCACTAACGAGTTCGGTTTCCTCTTGGCTCACACCCACCTTAGCAAGCGGCTAAGTTGTAACACCCTAAATTTTGACCTAGTTTAAAAAACACTAAAAATTTGAACTTTTTAAAACTTTGCTTAGGAACCAACATATATGATTAATTAATCTAGGTAGTAATATAGATAGGCCAACATAGAAATAAAATTACATGTGTAGAATTGTGTGCTTGAGTGTTTGCTTGCTTGTTGAACATATGGTGGTACACCTTGCATGCATTCATATTCAAATTTGAATTTAAAATGCATTCAAACCTAGTATAGGAAATATGGAAAAAGGAAAAGGAAATAGAAATGAGAAATGAGCACTGGGCTCATTTCCCCTCCTCTTGGCCCACAATAGCAGCAACAACCCATCTCCTCTCCTCCTCTTCTCCTCTCCCTCCCTCTCCTGCGCTGGGCCAACCCGCTGCCGCACCTTGGCATAAACCTGCACCCGCATCCTCTCCCTTCTCTCTCTCTCTCTCACTGGCGTGTGGGACCCGGCAGTCAGGCCCGTCATCTACCTCGGACCAGCGACACAAATACCACATCGCCGCCCGAGCT